GTCAAGAGAAATCATCTTGGTACTTTACAGTCTGAGTACCATTCATGGATGAAGTTAGCAGAGCCTGTCAATCTGGGGCAATCAAGTCGAGAATCAATCTCTCCAAGCTCAGAAAAATCTGGGGCATTCCCTTAAAGTTACCAATCAGAGGTTATCATGTAAATTAATCTCTTCAAGCTACCAATCAGAGGTTATCACGTCAATTAATCTCTTCAAGCTGTTAATCAGAGGCCATCACGTCGATAAATCTCTTCAAGCTCGATCAATCAGAGGCTATCACGTCGAGAGATCTATCCAAAGTCATTCAACATGGGGAAGTTACGTCTAGATTCGACAAATCTCTCTAAGAAAGCTATAATCAAGAGTAGTTTATTTTGTAGCTCAAGACATTGGGGCAGGCCACCTCATATCGTTTTGTGGCATGAATATTCTGGTCTTCTATTCAACATAGATCTTCTCAGAGACCCTTCAGACAAGGGCATTCCTCATCCATACTTGCAAAGTTGCTCAAGCCAATTATGTTGTACGAGACTACGATCAAGCTAAAAGCACCATAACGGTCACCCTGACCTAGCCAGCACACGAAGCTGCCTTCATCTGCTACAGACAATTTCAAATCTGATTCCCCAAGTGAATTCAGAAAGTCTAGAATCGTCTTTTGACTCAGCATGCGTAAGTGCATCCTCAGTGGAGTTAATCAAGAACATCCCCAATGGAGCTAAACCGGGGTATTCGCAGAGCTAAAACCGGGGCATTCGCGAAGCTAAACCGGGGCATTCGCGAAGCTAAACCGGGGCATTCGCAGAGTTCAACCGGGGCACTCGTAGGTGTCCATGCCCATCTCTTATCCCCAAGTGATTCAAGAGATAATTCCCCAGTGTGCGTAAACTTGGGACATGTATTCAGAGAGATCCACATGGTGTTCAGTATCCATTCTTCGGCATATTCACTTCTATCACCCCATCAACAGTTCAGGATGTTTGGATGTCTGGCCAGGTTATCTCTTCCCAACGGTATGATTCAGAATCCAGCATCGTACCTGAAGACTCGTTTCGTCGGCAATTCAATCTCCAACAGAGTCATCAACAATCTTCGGTATCATGGTCTCCCCAGGGAAAAATTTTATCAGTATCCCCAACAACCTTTGATACTACAGGCTTCCAACGTCGATATATATCGACATCCCTAGTGATGAGCATTGGTTCCTAGCAAACCTTCTCTTATCCCCATGAAGTTTATTTCTTCGCATTGCATATAGTTATCATTACATAACATTGCATCCTCAAAAGCGCGTAGCTGATCCATCAGAGTGGATCTTTGCGTCAAAAGAAATTCAAACATGCATACAAAGCATAAGCCAGACCAGGTACCTTACACGAAAGACCTGAATTATTCAAGTACAACAATACATCCCTACAAAAGGGTATCATGCCCAAAATCCCCAATCAGTGACCTTCACCTTTTCAATGCCCAACAAAACCAATACACTTTGCCATTCTAAACCCAGTTCTTGTCTGGTAGTCAGTTCCCTAAACACGCGTCCGTGTCCATTCCTAAACACTCGCCCGTGTCCATTCCTTAACACACGTCCGTGTCCATCCCTAAACACTCATATGTGTCAAGTTTCCTAAACACCCACCGGGTCAGTTATTCAAACACTCGTTCGTGTTTAACCTTTTGATACTTGCATGTATCTTCTTTCAATACTCGTCCGTATTGATTCAAACACTCGTCTGTGTTTAAACTTTTGATACTCACCTGTATCTTCTTTCAATACTCGTCCGTATTGGATCAAACACTCGTCCATGTTTACCTTGGATACTCGTCTGTATCTTCTTTCAATACTCGTCCGTATTGATTCAAACACTCGTCCGTGTTTAACCTTTGATACTCGCCTGTATCTTCTTTCAATACTCGTTCGTATTGATTCAAACACTCGTCCGTGTTTAACCTTTGATACTCGCCTGTATCTTCTTTCAATACCCGTCCGTATTGAATCAAACACTCGTCCGTGTTTAACCTTTTGATACTCGTCCGTATCTCCTTTCAATACTCGTCCGTATTGAATCAAACACTCGTTCGTGTTTAACCTTTGATACTCGTCCGTATTGATTTAAACACTCGTCCGTGTTTAACCTTGGATACTCGTCCGTATCTTCTTTCAATACTCGTCCGTATTGATTCAAACACTCGTCCGTGTTTAAACTTTCTCGATGCTCGTCTGTGTCGCTTATCTAAACAATCATCATGTCATAACCCATGTCTCCTTCATCGAACCTGAGATCGCCTCTTGGCTAGGTTCTTCCTTAAAATCATCGTCGAACCTGAGATCGCCTCTTGGCTAGGTTCTTCCTTCAAATCATCTTCGAACTTGAGATCGCCTCTTGGCTAGGTTCTTCCTTCAAATCATCATCGAACCTGAGATCGCCTCTTGGCTAGGTTCTTCCTTCAAATCATCGTCGAACCTGAGATCGCCTCTTGGCTAGGTTCTTCCTTCAAATCATCGTCGAACCTGAGATTGCCTCTTGGTTAGGTTCTTCCTTCAAATCATCGCCGAACCTGAGATTGCCTCTTGGCTAGGTTCTTCCCTTAAATCATTGTCGAACCTGAGATTGCCTCTTGGCTAGGTTCTTCTTTCAAATCATCATCGAACCTAAGATCGCCTCTTGGCTAGGTTCTTCCTTCAAATCATCGTCGAACCTGAGATCGCCTCTTGGCTAGGTTCTTCCTTTAAATCATCGTCGAACCTGAGATCGCCTCTTGGCTAGGTTCTTCCCTTAAACCTTCGTCGAACCTGATATCGCCTCTTGGTTAGGTTCTTCCTTCAAACCTTCTTCGAACCTGAGATCGCTTCTTGGCTAGGTTCTTCCTTCAAATCATCGTCGAACCTGAGATCACCTCTTGGCTAGGTTCTTCCTTCAAATCATCGTCGAACCTGAGATTGCCTCTTGGCTAGGTTCTTCCTTCAAATCATCGTCGAACCTGAGATCGCCTCTTGGCTAGGTTCTTCCCTTAAATCATCGTCGAACCTGAGATCTCCTCTTGGCTAGGTTCTTCCCTCAAACCTTCGTCGAACCTGAGATTGCCTCTTGGCTAGGTTCTTCCTTCAAACCTTCGTCGAACCTGAGATTGCCTCTTGGCTAGGTTCTTCCTTCAAATCATCGTCGAACCTGAGATCGCCTCTTGGCTAGGTTCTTCCCTCAGACCTTCAGCGAACCTGAGATTGCCTCTTGGCTAGGTTCTTCCTTCAAACCTTCGTCGAACCTGAGATTGCCTCTTGGCTAGGTTCTTCCTTCAAATCATCGTTGAACCTGAGATCGCCTCTTGGCTAGGTTCTTCCCTCAAACCTTTGTCGAACCTGAGATCGCCTCTTGGCTAGGTTCTTCCCTCAAATCATCATCGAACCTGAGATCTCCTCTTGGCTAGGTTCTTCCTTTAAATCATCGTCGAACCTGAGATCGCCTCTTGGCTAGGTTCTTTCCATATACTTTGTCTTAGAACCTGAGATCGCCCTTTGGCTAGGTTCTCTGTCAAATCACTCTCATGTGTCACCTTAGGATCGTAGGTCGCCCGTAGACCTCGTCCGCTGTCTTTTCATACCAACCATTTGTCTTGTATTGGCATCAAGCCACGTTACAAGTCCAGACTCTGTCTCTTCATTGAAAAAACAAATTTCTTTTCCCCAGCAGATCACAAAACAAATAAATAAAGAAAACACTTACTCTCTCTCAGGATAAATTTTTGGCATTGATATTTAATCATCTTCAACCTTGAACTTCCGAAAGGCACGCACCAATCGTACTTTCAGGTTTATGACGAGTAAATAGGGGCAGCTGTAATACCCCAAATTTGTCCTACCCTTCTACTTTTATCTGGTTTACGCATTGTCGCACTTTTCTCATGTACATAACTCCATAGGTCATTTAACATTGCATGCATTCGCTAACAACATAACTTGGCATGGGATCAAAGATTTGGAGTTGTATGGTTTCTCTTTGACTTTAAGAGTCTCACTTTCATTCAAGGCTGATTCATGTTATTTACTTAACAATCTTTGGCTTATGGAGCTAGGGTTTTTGTGTGCATGATTCATCGAGAATTTATTGCATCAGGATATTATAAGACATCCACCTTTAAGGTCCCTTCAAAAGCATCAAGTGTTTACTACCTTCTCAGTGACTCAGATTCAAATGAGAATGCTTTGAATTAAGGTTTTTGTACTTATCTTCATCGTTGCAAGGGTTAGATTCCTGATAGGAGTCTATGAGTTTGAGGATGCTTGGGTGATACTTTGATTGCTCGGGATACAGGGTACAAGATATCGTTTGTGGATTCAAAACATCATCACTCTGTTAGATATCAGTTACTTATCATGCAAGTTAAGTCTGGCTCGATTTTGGAGAGTTAAAATTAGAGGTTCATTGAGAATGCAAGATAACTTGGATTTGAAGTCGATTCAAGTGGTTCCATTATGAAAATTTGGTAAGCATTCGATCATAAGGATGTTTTTTGAAAGCAAGATGCAAAATATAAGGGCTAAGACACAAAGGCATTCGCACAAAGTTCGACATTGTTCAAACTCTTCATCCGTAAATTTCATCATCCTTTATCCAAGTTTATCCAAACTAAATCATTTCCAAATCCATCATTCATCATTATCATTCAACAAAAGCTTGTAAGGTTGTGCAAACCTCATTCAAATTTCTCATTATTCATTCGAACATTAAAGAATAATAAACATGGATTTCTGAGTGATGGAAATAAAGTATGGATCTTTTTGTCATGGCAAGCTTCAAACTTAAAGTTCCGTTCGAAATGTTATTCAAGTATCGATAAAATCTTATCCAAATTCATTCAAAGTCCAATTAGAGTCTGAAGCATTTCATTCTAATAAACCATCATATGCAAAGGTCATTCATGATCCAAAAACATTACAAATATACAAATTGACAGCATGTTAGACATTACAAGTTCAGTTCTAAGCTTATGCTAAACCTAAGCTAAGCCTTATTATTGCTACGATCTTTGAAACTTCGTGTTGATGCCCTCAATAATTGTTGCCTTTCTCCCCATATCTTAACTCTATCAAACTTGGCTTTTAATCCTCGCACCATCGAATTCCAAACCTGCAATCAAGAAATGGCTCCAAAATAGCCTGCACAATCCAGAGAAGACCCCCGTTCAAGAAAAATTAGCAGAATGAAACCAACTGTCAAACAGAATAAAACTCTATAACTGCTAGCCAAAACAGAATTTTATAAATTCCCTAAACCATATCCAAACAGCCCTGCACAATAAAAAACTGCAAACAACTAACAAACCTTTAACAGAATTACAAATAGAACCTACAGCTTAACCAATTCAAACAGCCCTGTCAAACAACCTGACCATTTCTAACAACTTTCCATTTCCCAATTTCCTAACAAACTTTTCTAACAGCTTTTCTAACTGTTAACTACCCTAACAACCTCCAACCAACCTCTAACTGGATTTCTATAACCAACTAACAGATTCCAACAAACTTCCAGCAATAGACTATAATAGAAAGCCAAACAGAATTCCATAACGACTGACCAATTCTACAGAATTATATAACAGGGAGATTATCATTCAGAAAAGAGAGAGAGGTGATTCACGATTGGCCATTCATTCATACAGAGGAAAAATATAGAAAAAACTCACCTTCCAATTCTCTCTGAAATCGTATAATTATCAATATTGCTTCATCATCTTCTGGAATTTCTTTACAATTCTTACTCTCCTTTGCAACTTCAAATCCTCCCTGTATAATCAGCATCTCTCTATATAACCGCATTGTTGCTTCATCCTTTTTTTTTCTCGACAATTTCAATCTGCAGCAGTCATCATCAACATCGTTCTGCTCCATCACTGTCAACACGTCACACCGTCATTACTCCTATATCACCATCACTTCGATCTCCTTTTCTATGCGGTAACAAACCATAATAACACCGGCTTCCACCTGCATCTTCCAAGAACGCTCTAATCGTGCAACTTTTGAATCTGTAACAAGCTCAACACAATAACTCAGAAAGTGAATCAAAAAGGAAGAAGAGTGAATCTGATGGTAATCGTACCTGGAGCGAGAATTATCCAGTGTTCTATCTTTGTTCGTTGTTGTCAAAGACGCACCGTACGTTCTCCTACTCCTTTGCCGCCATTTAAATCTGAAGAAAAAGAAGATGCGATATGTTAGACGCATAAAGATGAGAAGAGAAACACAATGAAGATCCAGAATTGACGATGATCGTAAGGAAAACGGTGGTGACGCTGTGTTGAGGTCGTCGGAGACGAAAATCATGAGAGAAGATCGTTCTGAACAGCGGTTCGATTGACGATCAACTGAAGCATGAGCGAGACGGCGGTGAACGTTGAATATCGGTGGAGTTTGTAAGGCGACGCCGGAGATCGTGAGGTGAGATGTTGGGTTGAAGGAGAATCGCAACGGAGGACCGGCGAAGAGAAAAGGGGAAAACCGTCGCGTAAGGGACCTCGTTCACGAAGAAGACGAGGCGACGCTGTCTTGAATCCCTAGATCGTCCCTTTTCCTTTCAATTCAGAATTTGTTTATAATATTTTATATATTTTATTATTCTGATGATTAATGAAATTGAGAATGGGTTGAGGGATGCTATGGGTATGGATGGACCGAACCAATTGATTCATGGACCCAACAAAATTTTTATGGTTGCTTTTTGTTTTATTTACTATAAAAAAAAAAATTCTTTTGGGTTTATTTTGATGGGCCTAATGTCATTCTATTTTTTTCTTGCAGCATATATTGAATCCAGCTTGCACCTCCTGGGGTCTTATTTTCAATACTTATTTCGATTGCGTTTGCCATTAATTTTGGTGATTTATTTTCTTTGGTGATATTGGTAAATAAAAGAGATTTCTTTTCACTTCTCTCACTTTTTTTTCTTTTCAATTTTAATCATTAGTTTTACTCATTTTATGTCATGTGTTTCGTTTTCGATTTTTGGTATGGATTGTATGCGATATTTTGATACTTGCTGCCTAATTTTACTTGTTCGTATATTATTTCATGATTCCTTAGGAGATTTTGGTTCAAATTTAATCTTCGATTTAATTGAACTAAAATTAGACATTAGGCTTTCAAATCTAAGCATTCTAACATTAAGTAGACGTTTCCCTTTCATTCATCCTTGACTTAGGTTTATCAACGCACGATAACATCAGGTTTAGAAATAGGCTAATTCCCCTTTAACTTTGCTTCCCTTTTCGCATACGCATCTAAAACTAAAACTTCTTTTTATTTTCAAATTTCAAAACACTTTAAAACTATTGATGAGAATCATGCTTTTGCTTAGTACGGGAAATGATAAGCGGGTCTCTTCTCGATCTTATTGTTCTTCATCTCAAGCATAGGTGTGGTTCAATTCTCAAAGACTCCTTTCATGACTAAGTAGAAAAATGGCTAATATCTCTCTCTTGAGGTCAATCAGTCATCATCTACAACAAAAATACAAAACAAATTCAAACCATTTTGTGCGTTCAAGCACTTTTCTAAAAAAAAAACCTTTTCAGGTAAGGACATGATTAATTTACTTCTGTGCCAACGCATAAGTCTCCAAAGGTCGAGCTGCGGCAAAAGGCGGAATTACTTCATCCACGAAAAACACAAACAAACAAAAACATATGAGCCGAACTACGGTAGCTCTGATTCCTCCAAAAGGATACGTAGGCATTGGGGTAGGGCCCAAGCGAGCATAATTTTATTTTCCCTACATTTTCCCCCTTTCTTTTGCATGCATTCTCCCTTTAGCAGTATAGTAAACAGTAAGCATAGATTAAACACACCCATAAGATAGATAACAAGAGTGGATACCATATAGTACTACGGGCGTGTGGGGTGCTAATACCTTCCCCTCGCGTAACAGACTCCCTTACCCGATCTCTCGGTCGCAAGACCGTGACTTCTCCCTTCTCAGGTTTTCTCGATGTTTACCTTTCCCTACATGTGGGATAAAAGACGTTCGATGGAGACTTCATTGTTTTTGATGATTTCCAGCCGGTTGTTTCACACGACTATCACACTTTTGTATGCACATCAACAGGCGCAACTCCTTTCTCACTTGTATACGACATGGAGGTAGCACTCCTGGTGGAAATTGAGATTCCATCACTCTGAGTCCTGAGGGAAACAAAGTTGGAAAAAGCAGAATGGGTGCAGGACCGACTTGACCAGCTCAACCTCATTGAAGAAAAATAATTAACGGCTTTGTGTCATAGTCAGTTACATCAAAAGAGAATGAAGAGGGCCTTTGATAAGAAAGTACTCCCTCGAATATTTAAGGAAGGGGATCTAGTGCTCACAAAGATTCTAATACCTCACCTCAATTCACGTGGTAAATGGACACCCAATTACGAAGGTCCATTTGTAGTCAATACAACATTCTCTGGAGGTGGTCTCGTCCTCACAATAATGGACGGGGAAGAACTACCGCATCCAACCAACTCGGGCGCAGTAAATAAATACTATGTATAAAAAATCGCTGAGATGGAACCTCCAAAAGGTGCGACTTAAGAAAAAAAAGGAGCGTCCCGGTGGATCGAAAACCCTAAAGGGCGATCCAGGCAAAAATTAGGGGCACACAACAAAAAAATTATCCCAATGGATTGAAAACCCAAAAGGGCAATCCAAACAAAAGTTAGGGATTTCATACAAAGAAATAAAGGACAAAAAGACTACGATCTGAGAGCTACGAGTACGAACCACGAAGGGAAGGATAGATTGGAATAATACAACTCAGAGGCAAGGGAGATAAGATCATCGAAAGATATGGGGGAACCACAGTAGCGATTATCATTTTTTTCATTGCCATTTACTGTTTTAAGACTTTTTGTAATTACCTCTTTCTAGGAATTGTATCTTGTATTCTCGCCCACTCTGAGGCATATCAATAAAACATTTGTTTTCGTTATATCTTTCGAATCATGTTTTTCTTTTCTCAGACTTGTTTACAGAATACTACGATTATTACTCATGAATATTATCTTGAAATAATTTTGGGGAATTAACAGAATAAAAGCATCTGACAAATATCGAAAAACGCTTGGGTTAGAAAAATATCGAAGGAAAATCCACGTATACGTTTGTGATACGGTGGGAGAACTGACTTGAGGTTTTGCGTTTGTGTTCGCAAATGTATCGGTTTAGCAAGAGTCGCCACCAACTTTTTATTTTATCCTAAGGAAAGGTCAAAAAGCACAGGAAAGACCTTTGAGATGTTTTCTTGGGTTCGGGGGGTAGATTATGAAAAGGGAAGGTGCTAGCACCCTTTTCATCCATGGTTTTCCATGGGCTCTTAGTTACTTGTTTAGATCACTTGCTTTTGCTTTTCAATTGTTTTAAATGGTGCTTTGTGTGTGGTTTTGAAAAGGTTTTGAAAAGAGGCCATCGTTGTGGCAACCTTTGTAATGATTCTTGTTTGAATATATACAAAGGTGTTTGTCTTTTGAAAAGATATTTCAATGTTTGAAAGTTTGAAAGTTTGTTTTGAAATTGTGTTGTGAGATGTGTTTGAAAATAGCAAGGATGTTTTTGCAAGTTTTGATCAAGTAACTAAGAGTTGTCTACTCTATTTTACTCAAAGATCTTTCCTATACGTTTTTAACCCTTTTGACAGTGTTGTTTTACCATTGTATTTGGTAGACAACCTTGTATTAGGATGTTAAACGGGACAGGCGCGGGTCATCGTATAGACCATGATAGCAATTGTGTTAAGTATTTTTAGAAATATTTTGAGGGGGCTAGATCATTTTGTTTAGGCAACCAAGATAGCGTCATCGAGGGACTATGATCTTTTGTTTTGTTTTTGTTTTGCCAAAGTACTCAACATGCATAACATGGCCCGTTTTTAAGGAAACAAGTGGATGTAACCTTAGGGGTGCAAGTGTGCATTGTGTTTTATTTTCATGCATTTTTGTCTTTGTATTAGGTCAAACTACTTGTTGATTTTGGATTTTTGCATACAAACCCTAATCTCTAATCATGGCATAATTGAAAGCGTAAAGTGCGAGAATTAAATCTAGGCTATTACAACATGATTATGGGGAGGGGGATACAATTTTTGAATGGGGATTATTTGACAAGAAATATAAACCCTAGTTTACTATTACATCCAAATTGAATTCCAAGGCATAAATATTAAATAGACAATATTTAAATGAACAAAATAAATATATCGAATAAAATGAATTATCCAAAAAAGTTTTTGTTTATTTATGTATGTAAAAATATTTGATGAAGAAATAAATAAAAAGATTAATTTTATTTGGTTAGGGGTAAAACCCTAATTTTCTTTAAGAAAGTAAATATATTAATTATTTTATTTATATGCAATAAAAATAAAATAGTATATGTGAAAAAATAAAATATGTTTATAAAAAGTATTTATTAAGTATATCTAATAATAAAAATAAAAGTGTAATATTTTATATTTTTATTCTAAAATATCTACAAAATAAAGGTATGTATATATTTGTATGTATTTAAATATATTAAATATGATAGAATAAAATAAAATATGTACAAAAAAAAATTAGAAAAATATTTTTAGTGTGAATAAAAATAAAGAACAAAAATAAAAGTATAAATTATATCTTTTTTCAAGTTTTGTATAAATAAGATAAAAGTAAATAAAATGCTTTTTATGTTAGAAAAATAGAAATAAAATGCAAAATAAATGTGAAAAAATTATAAAAATATTTTTGAGCATTTTTTATATTTGGGAATAAATAAAAAAAATCAGAAATGAAAATAAAAATACAAAAATATAAAATAACAAGAAATTGGGCCAGGGGGTGCAAAAAGGAAAAGGGAGGTGCCAATCGTGAGCCAGGCCAAGCCCAGCCCAAACCAACATCATCTTCAACCTTCTGACTTTGAAAACGCGCGCGCCCTGTTCAAATACCAGATCCTGTATGCGAGCTCTATTGCAAAAACACATAACATCAAACTTGTAGAGCATTTCAAGACGATTCCAACCATATAAGCAACTTGTCATAACTCTCAAAGACCAGAGAGAATTTCTCTGGCCCTAAAATCTAACCTAGTTTTTTCAGTATGTTCATGGATGAAATTCTCTTAGCATGCTTAATATAAATGAAAACTGAGCATATGTACAGCTTCATGGCAATGAATACTACATTTCTTATTCACAAACCTAAGGCTAAATGTTCCTAAATAGAGAGATAGGAAGTTGACAAAAACCTGTTTCAGCTGACTTTGTGTAGGGCAATGTAGAGCTTTTCAACAAGGATTGAGATGTCTGGGAG